TATTAAATAAAAAAATAAGATGCAATCGTTACTGAGATATGGAAATGTAGACCGAATACATCTCGGGGTCTCGCGTAAATACAGCCACGGACGTCTCGCGGTCGTTTTACTTGAACTTCACTGCGCGTGAACTTGGCGTCGAGACATCACTCGTGTCTCTTGATATATTTAACGGTTTTATACTCAGATACATGTATTCAATGTATTCAATTCTACACACGCGCGCGCACGCATATATGATGCGCAAATTTTGACCAGCAATTTTTTTTCATACGGATAATACTGCATATACTGCCAATAATTGAACACAAATGAATAGATAACTTTAACACGCTGTAAATTTACGAAAAAATTGTACAAACTGGTTTTTAATTTGCAAAAAAATGTTTATATATTTTGCTATAGTTACACGATAATTGCAAAAAAATTTATACGATTCCGTAGAGTGCATTAAATTATGCAATTCTTTTAGAAACGTAATACTTTCCTTACTTTTCAAAAGATGGCGAAAGAAAGGGAGGATAATATCAATGTACCTTAAAGTATACACTTTATCCTTGAAAGTTCAAAAAAATCTTCCAAATATGATAATTTTTGCTGAATTATGCTTACTTAAATTTATGCATAATTTTGATATAAATTTATCTATGCAATAATTTTGTTGACGAGTATATTTTTACATTCAAAATCGTTAATGTTATTTAAATATACAGCTTCATATTCTAATTATTGTAATAAATTTAACATACATATTAAGAATATACTAATGAATCAATTATAAATTTTCCAGCAGTATATTTTTGTATTCACAACATATATTTTTTCAGAAGATATTTGGAAGTTGCAGATCACTCTCTTTGACAAATATTATCCTATTTTTAAATTATGGCTTTTCTGTACACCCTTTGTATGTATCCGTCATCCAGATGACATAGAGGTAGTATAACATAAAAACATTCAAATTTGTCAGTACTTACATTATTGACAAATTGGTAATTGCAAAACTTTTCATTTATATTTATATTTAGTAAAAATTGTTATTTAGACAATCTTATTAAAAATTGAATTAATAAAATGTTAATAATAATTTATACAACAATTATTACACAACAATCATTTATTTCACGATTGAATAAAACAATTATTTTATAATTTTTAAATTTAGATAATACTGAAGATGCATATCAACAAGAGCTTTGTTTACAACTTCTTACATCCTGCTTTAAAAACAGGTCTTCTCACTAGTGGAGGTAATGTAATTATATCATTATAATATATATAACATATGTACATTTTACTATTATATGCAATTTTTATTACATATTCAAATTACGATCAAAATTAAATCATTACATAAATTAATTAAAATATGAACATTATTTGTAAGAAAATTTGTATATAAAATGTATTCGTTATAAATTAAGTAGAAAAAGATATAGACAAATATAAATGCAAATTACAAGTCTGTCATAGTATGTAAGGATAATGAAACTTTGTACGATGGAGTATTCATCTTCTTTCTTACTCTTTAATAAGCTCCAATTTATTTTTGTCAACAGGTGTATTGTTTCTGTTTTAGGTGCAAAATGGCAATCGCGACGAAAATTATTAAATCCCATGTTCCATTTTGCTATATTACAACAGTTTGTTGACGTTTTCGTTAAGCAGAGCGAAGATATGACAAACTCTTTGAAAAATACGGACGACCATATTGTAAACGATTTGATGTTTTTTATTAGTGAATATACGCTTAATACAATTTGCGGTATGATATTTTGATTACAATAATGTGACACTCTTATCTTATTATTAGATAACACGACAAACAATATAAATTTTATATGCAAAATATAGTTATGTCTGTATATTAAAGAATAATATTTAATTCTAAAAACTCTTTAGAAATTTTTGAGCATGTATTATTGATATTTATTAAAATATGTCTTTGTAGAAACTGGAATGAGTACTTCTCCATATAAACTTGGTTCATTACAACAACAGTATCGAAATGCAATTCATCAGATGTTGGAACTCATAGTTTATAGGTAATTTATAGATATCTTAAATAACTATAAAATATCCAGATAAAAGAACACATTAATATCATTTAATTAATATCATTTAATTATATAAGAATAATAATTATATTCAATATGATAGTTAGCAATTTAAACATTTAATCAACAAATTGCTTGTCTAAAATAAAAATTTAAAATTTTTAAATGTTGAATGTTTGCTATGATATTATGATACAATTAATACATTAAATTTAAAAACACGCGTCATTTCTAATATTTTCTAATACTCTTGTCTTTTAAAAATTATGTATATATGATATATATTAATATATAATTGTAATAATAGTGATTTTAAATTAATTAAAATTTAGAGCAATAAGACCGTGGTTATATTACGATTGGATCTTCGCATTTACACCAAAAGGTAGACAACAAATGAAACATCTAAAGATAATAAATGGATTTTCTCAGAAAGTATGTGAAAATTTCGTGTTATGTAGTTTTCTTAATTTATATATATTGTAATATCTTCTATTACATAAAATTATAAGAAAATGTATACAAATATTTGTAAATATTTTAAGAAATATAATAATACAATTCATAAATATTGAGAAACATATTGTTGCGGTTGCAGTATAAATAAAATCTTGAAAGAGCTGATATTTTTTAGATTATTACTGAAAGAAAACTTTATCATGAACAAACTAATGGACAATACTTGAAAGTTTGTGATAACGATGTATCGGCAGAAAATTGTTCAGAAACCATTACAAGTATGTTACATAATTGAATGTTACTAATGTAGTTTGATATTAATTTAGTTTGATTTACGTTATAAATTTATTTGAAAATACTCAGAATTATCAATTCAACTAATTATACTTAAACTTATACT